CCAAACAGGTAATGCACTTACTCTCGGTACCAACCATATGGGTAAGTAACGCACATATTTAAAGTACGAACCATATGGGTAAGTGACGCACTTACTCACAATACCAACCATATGGGTAAGTATTGCACTTGCTCTTGGTACCAACCATATGGGTAATTAACGCATTTACTCTCGGTACTAACCGTATAGGTGAGTAACGCATTTACTCTCGTTACCAACCATGTGAGTGGGTGACGCACATATTCTCGGTACCAGCCATATGGGCAAGTAACCCACTTACTCTCGGTACCAACCATATGGATGTGTACATTAATTACTCCTGGGACCAACCATACGGGTAAAATTTGCACTTGCTCTCAGTACCAACCATATACAAATTAACGCACTTACCCTTGGTAATAACCATATGAGTAACTAACGCACTTACTATCGGTACCAATCATATAGGTAAGTTACGCATTTATGCTTGCTACCAACACTATGGGTAAGTAATGCACTTACTCTCAATACAAACCACATGGGTGCGTAACGTACTTACTTTCAATACCAACCATCTGGATGAGTAATACACTTAAACTTGTTACCACCCATGGGTCAAAATACAATTGCACTTCGTACCAACCATATGGATGAGTAACGTACTTACTCTCGATACCAACCATATAGGTGAGTAACGTATTACTTTCAGTACCAACCATATGGGTAAGTAATGCAGGTACTCTCGGTACAAATCATATGGGTGAGTAATGCACTTTTTCTTGGTACCAACAATATGATTAACACAGTTTTGGTACAAACCATATGGGTAATTAACGCACTTACTCTCGGTAGTAACGCACTTGCTCTTACTACAAACAATATGGGTAAGTAACACACTTACTCTCGGTACCAACCATATGGGTAAGTAACGCACTTATTATTGTTATCAGCCATATGGGTGAGTAAGACATTTACTCTTGGTACCAACCATATGGGTTAGTAACGCACTTACTCCTTGTACCAACCATATGGGTGAGTAACACAGTTTCTCTCGGTACCAACAATATGGATGATTAACGCACGTAATCTCGGTACCAACCATGTGAGTGAGTGGCGCACTTTTCTGTGTTCAAACCAATTGGGTTAGTAATGCACTTCCACTCGATACCAACCATATGGTTGAATAACTTACTTACTCTCGGTACCATTCACATCGTTAAGTGGCGCACTTATTTGCGGACCAACCATATGGGTGAGTAACATACATATTCCCGGTATCAACCATATGGGTAGCTAACCTACTTACTCTTGGTACCAACTATATGGGTAAGTAACGTGCTTGGTCTTGGTACCAACCATATGGGTTAGTAATGCACTTAGTCTCATTACCAACCATATGAGTGAGTCATGCATTTACTTTTGGAACCAACCATATGAATGAGTAACAAACATACTGTCGGTACCAACCATATGGGTAAGTAACGAACTTGCTCTCGGTACCAACCAAATGGGTAGATAACGCACCTAATCTAGGCACCAACCATATGGGTGAGTCACACAATTACTATCGGTACCATTCATATGGGTAAATAGTGCACCTACTCTAAGAACCAACCATGTGGGTAGGTAACACGCTTACTCTCGGTACCATTAACATGGGTCATAACGCACCTACTCTTGGTACCAACCATAAATGTGATCCAAGCACTTATACTTGGTACCGTTCGTATTGGTAAGTAACGCACCTACTCTTGGTACCAACCATATGGGTGGTAACGTATTACTCTCAGTATCAACCATATGGGCAGGTACCGCAATTACTTTCGGTACCAACTATATGGGAGAGTAACACACTTACTATGGTATTAACCGTATGGGTGATTAAAGCACTTGCTTACGATACCAACCATAAACGCAACCATAAGCACTTGCTTACTATGGTACCAACCGTATTGCTTACTCTCGGTACCAATCAGACGGGTGTGTAATGCACTTACTTTCGGTACTGACCATAAGGGTGAGTAATGCACATACTTTTGGTACCACCCATATGGGTAATTATCGCACTTACTATAGGTATCAACCATATGGGTGACTAAAGCATCTATTCTTGGTACCAACCATAAGGGTTAGTAACGCACTTATTCTCAGTACCATTCATATGGGTTAGTAACGCACTTATTCTCAGTACCAATCACATGGGTGAGTGAAACACTTACTACGGTACTAACCATATGGGTGATTAAAGCACTTACCCACAGTACCAACCATATAGGTGAGTATCACACTTACTCTCGGTACCAACCATATGGGTGAGTATTGCACTTACTCTAGGTACCGACCATATGGGTGAGTAACGCACTTATTCTTCGTATCAACCATATGGGTGAATATCGCACCTAGTCTCGGTGCCAACCATATGGGTGAGTAACGCATCTACTCTCGATGCCAACCATATGGGTCAGTAACGAACCTACTCTCGGTACCAACCATTCGAGTGAGTAACAAACGTACTCTCGGTACCAACCATATGGTCGATCACGCCATCAGTAATCCACTGATCGTCCTCGATCGACATGAGGTCGTTTTTATCCACTTCACACCCGACACTGCGGTGATTTATGAGCTTCATGTTGCTGTATGATGACTTCACATAATTGCGTGCGATAGCGGCCACCAAGTCGTCCGGCACCGGCTCTCGCACCTTTACCTCTACATGAGTCGCGAACTTCTTTGCCCTTCCGGAGTCCTTCGTCTGCGGGTTGGGAGGGGTATTCTTGTCAGTACTGTCGGCCTTGTTTGATGACCTGGATCTTGTGACGGGCAGGGCCGAATCTTGGTCATCGGAGCTGCTGCTAGTCTCCGGTTCATAGAACCGGTTGCGCTTAGAGACCAACTGTTTATGTTTCGCCATCGTGAACGAACACTGACTAGTATTCGGAAGCCGTAGGGAGATTAATAGGTGAGTACCTAGGTGATGACTGGGTGAGCACAGCTACTATGGGAGATCGCGACAAGGGTACTATTAAAATGGAAGGGGAGAGCAAGGCGTAACCCTTGCCTGTCATGCCCAGCTGGTAGAAACGTCATGTATATACTCAATGATCTACCCCGCTGGCGCAACAGTGCATGCAATGTCCAAGTGTGATGCGACGTTTCGACTGGAAGTAATGGTGAGGTGCCATGCGGATCCACGTATGATCCGCCTAGGGTTTCGGATGATGTGGTCCGAGGTTGGGTGGGTTACCAAACCCGATGCATGGAATAAATTGTGGTTTCGTACACTCGATTCCGATTTTCTTATGGAATCTGAATGGCGCGGAAACCGTTAACGACGTACGCTGTAAGGGGGCACATGGGTCGTTGTGTCTCCATCGCACTCCAAGTATCTTTGATGAATTGGCGGTGTTCACTGGTTTATGATAAAAGTGTACCGGTAAACGCGGTTGTAAATTGTTCCGGTGGTTATTTACGTGCAATGTGCGACATTCCAGACGAATTTAAGTCAGACTTGGTGTGCATGTTAATTGTCGCTAAACAATTTATCAGTGTCAATGTAAATAACGCCACACCTTTATATCACAACAATTTATCAGTTGCAATTTAAATGAGCATACAACAAATTATCACTTGTATGTCTCTTTTGTTCTCATTTTGACACGCGGCTTCCAATGGGTGCTCATCAATGTGTGTTGTACGTATGTTGACCGTAAATGAACTTGATTGTATTATAAAAAAAAATACTAAAAGCAGGGTGTCGTTACAGTGAGTGTCACACGAGACACGCTGATCTGTGCACACATATCACGGCTTCCTGCACATGTGTGTGCGAGAAGTTGGTTATTGGAGTTGTATTAGAGTGCATCATAGGTACTGAGCAGGGTTTTCACTGCTGGCCCTCCTAAGGTTTCACGGCTCTAGGATAACGGGGAACAGTTGACTGGTGTGCGAGACGGCGTTTAAGGACGACAGCAGGTTACAGTCTCATGTAGCGAATGGGGCAATTTGTCGGGAGGAGTTGAAGAGGAAGCGGGAGAGTCTTTTGTTGGCAGCCTATTTGGAAGCCGTTGCTTGCGACGGAGATAGTAGACCAAACACCCCACCAGCATCCAGGCTTAAAAATAATGATGGCAGTTTTGTATCCGTTGCTCCAAGTGCTTCGATTCCCGAAGTTAGTTTGGTTGGCGACGCGGATACACCATCAGACGGCGTTGATGCCGAGTCCTCAGAAGGCAGCGTTAGGAAGGAGATTTTCGACACCCTGACAGAGTTGTACCTCTTTTTCCGTGACACCGATCTTTCGCACAGGGAAGTTAACCGCCTGCTACACATTTTCCGCAACCCGCGCTTCAACCTAAGGGCTCTCAGACGATGGCGCAACTAGGTGGACGTGCGTCGCTGGGGCATGGCGCGAGCGCCAGCCGACATGGTCCCGTAGAAAATGGAGGAGATAGTGGTGCGGGGTCCCAAAGGAACTGGTACGTATTGGAAGACCAACCCCGATGGCGATGTCGTAATGAAGTGACGGCCGTGTGCCCCATGTAATGCCGCTCACATGTGTTTTATACGCGACTCCCGCAGATTTTAAAGAAGCTGGTGCGGACGTTCTCATCGAAGAAGGGGTTCGTTTGGAAGCCGAGGAAGATTTATCGGAAGAAGAATGACGAGCGGGTACTCGAAGGACCGGAGACTGGTGATTGGATGCACTATGCTCAGGTACGTGAATGTTAGAGGCACCGTCGTCATACTACGGACAATATGCTCGCGGCATGAACCCTGTAGGTGCTCACCAGCCCGTGCATTGTGCCTGGCAGAAGGAGATCAATGACGACCAGGCACTCATTCTAGGCATGCTGATATACAGTGACAGCACGCTGGCATCACGTAATGGACGAAGGAACGCGTGGCCGGTGCTGATATCCCTTATCAACATACCCGAAGAGTTGCGTGGAGTGGAGCCAGGGCACACCCTGGCGGCGGTGCTTCCATTCCCACCTGAGTGGGCTTCGCCTACGGAGAAAATGCGCGTATTCAAGGAGGCCCATCATGCGAGAGTCCGCCAGGTACTGGGAGGGGAGGGAGGTGGGAATGATGATGCTACACGGATTGGGTCGGGGTTGATCCTGGTTTGTGGAAACAAAGTGTTGAGTTATACATGCTATCCATCACATTGTGCGCACCATTTGTGCGTTGCGTCAATATGCAGCGTGCCAGTACGCCTCTTCTACTACACGGATGTGGATGGGAAGGTGCACATGATGGACACCTACATCGAACCACTTGGAAAGGTTGAGATGCGGCTGCTTGAGCGGTGAGCAAGTTGGGTGTGCGGGACGAGCATGCTAACTATGGGGGGTTTCGGTTGGCTACATTTCAGCATGTGTGTGGTTGGATGACCACCCCGTACTATGTATGTGCGCAGCCGCAAGAAGGAGTTCAAGCTCATCACTCCGAGCGTTCTCCTACGAATCCCAGGGGGCTCATCGTTCTTCAGTTCCGGCGCAAACTACGCGGCGTTCGAGCACAGGAGCATGATGCAGATAATGCCGTTACTGGTGGCAGACGAGAGTGCATTGAAGAGTGGGGTGCGGGAGAGCTGCGTGCTTTGCAGGTCAAAGCGTTCCGGCTGTTTACCGTGTTCTACAAGGCATTTCTGGGGGTTGACAGGCACACATACACGACAATTGCAATTGCCCATCAGCATGCGATAGCGTGAGTACATACAAGCATACTCAGATGGGGCAAACAAGCAGCAATGGGAGGCTATGCTAATAGGAGATGGAGTGGCAGTGCACGATGATGCATCGCGTGTTATGTCTTCTCGTTGTTGCCGTGGCAGGTTGGTCGCGCTGCTACCAAAGGCATTCCCAACGCAGGTATCCCACTGGAAACTCCCAAAGATACACATGATTAGACATTTGCTAGACAACATCGTGCAACGTGGGATGCCGCACCACTATTCCACTGAAATGTGGGAGCGCACGCACAAGGACACGGTGAAGGGTCCAGTACGAGGGAGCAATTGGAGCGACATACCACGACGGATTGTGGAGGAGGTGCAGCGGGAGGTGTGTCGTGAGGTGGCGGTAGACGCAGGGGGTGGGCGGCAATACGCGTCCGCCTTGCGTGAGGTGTGCCAGAGGGTGTTTTTGAGCATGATTGCCATTGTTGCTAGTACAGGGGCCATAACACCGTCGTCGAGTCGTGCTTTACAGGGCGTGCGGTTCGTTGTGGGAATGCGTGTTTTACGTGCAGGCAATCAAGACGAAGAAACCGGTCCTGACGAAGAAGTGTCGGACAATGCGGATCGGCGGACTATCAGATCCGGTGTACGATGAGTACGTCGCCGCGCTGGGAGACGAGATGAAGGGGATGGCCGCTGAGTTCACGGCGTTGGGGCTGGCTACCAACAACGTGCCAGGTGAAATGCATACAACGTAGCGGCCAGGGAACTCTCATGGTTCGACACAATGTGTCTCACTGGACTGATGTTGTATATGTCATGCTGGATTGGTTGGGATGGTGTGACAGGTCCACACGGCGGTGGCCATTCCGCGCACAAGAGGCGGAGAGCTGGTGGCCAAAGGGACATTTGTGAAAGCGTCTCCCCGAGAGAGGTGGTATTCGGATGTGGCGCTGCTAAACAACAAGAATGGGGACTGGTATGCAAGGTATCTGTGCATCTTCAGGGCGGTTGACCATGATGGGGAGTGGAAGGGGTACGCATATGTGAGGTACTATGAGAGGGCGGGGAGGTGCAAGCTCACAGGATGTACGCAGCTGCACAAGAAAGTGGAGAATGTGAGGTACTCGGTGGTGGAGCTGAAAAGCCTGCAGAGAGTTGTGCACGTGTGCCCTTCATACAGCAACAAGAAGGTGCAGCTAGTGAACAGGTTTTTACTGTGTGAGTGACGCAGAGCGTATGCTGTGTGGGTGGTGTTGATGATCTAAACCCAAGTGAACAATGCGTATACCGGTATGCTGTGGAGGGGTGGAGGAATGGTTTCAATGAGAGTGTGACGCGGCTTTTTACCTACGTTAGAGCGCTCTGGATTGTTCCTGTTGGTATTTTAGAATTTTGCTCTGGGTGTGCACACTGTACATTGGATTATGGCTGTTGTTGTTTTAGAATTTTACTGCTGGTGTGCAGGCTGTGCATTCATCATAATATGGGCAATAATGTCCGTGCGAGCATTATGGCCAATTGTGCATGAATCAGTGTCGTGTAGGCTGTATGCATGTGTAGCTGCCACTGTAGGCGCGCATACACGAAATGTGGTATTAGTTGGCATCGTAAGTCTATTACGTGTACTGGTGCAGTTGTTGTTTGTGCGGCCGGGGTTGACGCACCACAACGTGTGGTGGTGTAAACGAGCGGTTAGGGCTCGTGGCTGTTCGGATATGGGTGACGCGTACGTGGCGTCGGGGGGGCGAGATGGCCTATGTGAACGTTACAGGTGGGCGTATCATAGAAGTGCGTTATCTCTGAGCGGCCGAGGGGTTGTACTAGGTTGGTTGTGTGGCGCATGTCAACTGCTATACGTAGTGTGCGTACAGGGCCAAGCTGGGCGTACGATAAGGTCGACTGAAACATATATAGGAAGAGGTCAGCAGCACTTCAACGCATACTTGCCAACCTGGGTGACAGAGTGCTACAATGGGTGACCTGAAGGGATTGCTTGCTACCGCGCATCCTGACGACGTGTTCAGCTTCCACGAGATTAATTTTCTTCCAAGCCGGCTACCGAAGACATGCATTCCGGATAAGCGCAATACGGTGGAGCGTATTGTCAGCGTCGGCACTCTTTACAACACGACGGGGAGCTCTTCCGCGGTGCCTCTGGTGGTCCTATCCCCATACGATAGGCCCAAGCGCAAGGTGGCCGTTCGGTATACGCACCGCGGGCGGTTGACGCCGGAGGTATGGATGTGTGCAAAATGTGAATATTATTGGGTTGAAGTGTGCATCGTATGTGTGTGGAGTCAACGGGCTGGTCCATGTGCTGTTGTCATCGCGTGACGCTCATTCGCCGTTCCTGCTCGCGGTATCTGTTGTTCTGTATGTCAGAATCACTAGGCAAGAATGAATGAAAGGAGAGGGGTTTCACTAGCAGCAGTTGGGGTACATATAGCAAACCCTAACTGGGTTGTACTCGCTATAGAGCACCCCACTACAGGCTAGATAATAATAACATTCTGACACACCCCCATAGCCAAAGTGGGGTGTAATCAGCACAATGAGCAGGCATAGTAATAGTTCACAATTATAAGTACAGCTAGAGGTGATCACAGAGGGCAAATGAGGAGGAGGAGAGACTGTGAGGGCGAGAAGATGAAAGGCGCTGACTGAAGCTGCAGACACACGGGCAACAGGAGCGGCGCGCACAGAGGCTACCGAGCGCACGAGGGCACCGGACTACGGGAGTATCTGGCTCTGCGGCTACGACGAGCACACACAGGAGCAACGGACCCACAGGCGACTGGCGAAGCAGGCTCGCTGGGCTACCGAAACGCGCGAGGGCATCCGGACTACTGGCGCTGCTGGCGTCACGACGGCTACCTCCACGCAACCTCCTCCGACCGTCCCACGCCCCTCTCACACACCCCCTGCTGCACCCCTAGCTCCACTCCCACGTCACCCCCCTTAAACCCTAAACCCTCGGCTCCCACACACCCACCCCCCTCAGCGGCAGCTGCAGCAGTGGGAGACGGAGGAGGAGGAGGAGCTGCAGGTTACCCACACCGGTCACCCCCATGCCCGCCACCCAGTCTCAAACCCTAACGCAGGCAGGAGCGCAGGAAGCAGCAGGGGCGGGGCACGGAGGGAAAGGGAGGCGGCGGGGTGGCTCCTGGGCGCCACGAAGAAGCAGGGCGCGGGCCCCCCGAGGGCGCCACGGCGGGTGACGGGAGGGGGGCCGCGCACGGGCCCCCGAGGGCGGCTCGACGGGCGACGGGAGGGGCCGCGCGCGGGCCCCCAAGGCGCCGCGACGAGGCGACGGGAGGGGGGGGACGCGCGGGCCCCCAAGGCGCCGCGACGAGGCGACGGGAGGGGCCGGCCCGCGGGCCCCCAGGGCGCCGCGACGAGGCGACGGGAGGAGGACGACGCGCGGGCCCCCAGGGCGCCGCGACGGGCAGAAAACCGCCGCGCGCCTCGGGGCGCACGGCGGGCAGAAAACCGCCGTACGCCCCGAGCGCACGGCGGGATGAAAAACCCTAAAAATTTCCCCGCGCGCTCCGCGCGCGGCAGGAAGAAGGCGGCGCGCGCCCGAGGCGCGCGAGAAGCAGAACAGCAGCGGAAGCAGTTAGGTGGCGGGCCCACCCACAGGATCGACCCAAGGGGGTCGACCTGCTCTGATAGCATGTCAGAATCACTAGGCAAGAATGAATGAAAGGAGAGGGGTTTCACTAGCAGCAGTTGGGGTACATATAGCAAACCCTAACTGGGTTGTACTCGCTATAGAGCACCCCACTACAGGCTAGATAATAATAACATTCTGACACTGTACACAGGTGTTCACAAAGTTTGTGGAGACCGTCAATGGTGTGCACTTCAGCCGTGATCGCAACACCCTCATCCTAACCATACACGAGGCGCATCGCATCATCGGCGAGGTCGCGCCGCCCGTGACGGAACACGGCTTCAGTGTGCAGCACCTCACAAACACCCGAATCGTCAACATACATGGGTCGGTTCCCAAACGGGGCCTGCCGCACCTGCAGGGAGTGGAGGATGCGCTGAAGGCGAATTACCGCGTTATGTTGATGAGGCGTGCGATAGCGGCGAAGCAGTTCCAGTTCGACTATTCGGCTTCCATCGCTGACGTCGACTATGGCGACATGCTCGAGTGGCTGGGAGAATCGTGTACTCGTGTGCGCGCGGCAATCATGCAGAGGAGCTGGTGGCGCGCCGGATGCGTGCCCCCGAGCTGGCCGCCACTGATGGTGTACCTGAACGACACGTGCGCAACAGGCATGTTTGAGCCTCTTATTGCGATGTGCGTCGAGCTGTAGTTGCTCATCGAGAAGTTTAAGATGAGGCCTGCGTGCTATATGACGGCGGCGGAGTTCATCAACTGCGACGCGGGACTCTGCGTGGAGCAGGGGTTCAGAGCCACACCTGCAGCCAGCGCGTCGGATGATCCGTCGGGCGAGATGAGCTTGCCAGATGGCCCATTGCTGCGGGACGAGCGCAGCAGGAGGCGCGTGATTTGTAACGTCACAAACGCGTTCATGGAGCGTGCCGATGAGCTCGGCATTCCCCCGGCCGCGGTGCCAGCAGAGGTCGGAGCATCAAACTAGGAGGTAATTTCCCGCCACGGCAGGACGCCAGTCAAGCGTGCGCGCGCGGGGGTGCGCGCTGAGGGCCTGGCAGACCCAGCGGTGCACGTGAGTGACGACGACGAGTGATGCACATGATTGTAGTGGGGCTCAGTAGTGGGAGTTGAGTGTGTGCGGTACCGTACGAGTGCTTGACGGGTTTGGGGTTGTGTTGTTGATGTTATAGCAGTTGTGTTGGGATTGAAGATTTAGTGGAAACCCTAAAACATATGTGGCATTTGTGCGTGAGCGTCAACCGTTTATGCGGACAGATGTTATACTAAGACGGTATGAACGAACCTCCCATACAATAACGCGGACATTGCATAGCCTACATTCGGAAGCGCGAGTGCGATTCGGGGTGTAGGTGTGCGCTCCGGGTTTCCGATAGGTTTGCGGAATTATTACTGCATAATCAGTTTTTTTTTAATGATGACAATGTGCGTTTTTGAGGTGCAAAATGTTGCGATTTGGGTGCGGTGTTTTCCAGCAGCTTTCCGCAACATTCTCGCAAGGCCGACGCAGAAAAACCTTCGTGGGCCCAAAATTGCAGCTTTCCTTTTTCGCGATGTATAGCCCAAGAATGATTAGCCAGGGTCGGGTTGGGGTGAGGTGCACTAGTGCAGCTGGACCAGGCAGCTGAACGTGCAAGGTTGGGAGAGGTCGTCGAGCACTTAAAGGATGTTCGAAGTACCGCACCAGCTCGACGTCGAAGTATGTCGGTGAATCCTGACGGTTGAAACCGTAGTTCCGAGGGTTGACATTCACCGACTTCCCTCCACGTCGAGGGATGCAGTACTTTGAACACGCTTTTACATCCGAACACAACTTTTGGCACATCTGCTCTTTCTCCGTATCCCATCTGTTCTTCCAGAAAGCCTCAGCCGCCTCTTCCCTCCATCATAAAATCAGTGATCTCGTGCTTCTAGCCTTTCTCCCTCCAGGCTCGGCTGCCGCTGAGAAAAAAAGCCAGGTTCTTCCGTACGGAAGATGTACTTGTTCTTTGCAAGCCGAGTTTCCTCTCATTATTTATTGTTATCATGGCGCGAAACTCGACGCTCGTCCCTCTCTTCTTTGTCTGTCGCGTGCTGGCCGTCGTCATGCTTCTCGCGTTCGCCACTGCA